TGATATATCTCTCAAAATTATCTACCAGACGTTTGCGAGGGGTGAGGGTTGTCAAACGAGCTCCTTCGAGTTCGCAGATAGGAATCGGAGTCGAAGGCAGATGAAGTTTCTTCTCTAATATCGCGTTAAGCCACACTTGAAGTAGCCATAATGGGCCGGGGAGATTTCGAGGCCCAGATTCTCGAGAAAAGGCTCTTGGAAGCTTCATCAAGGCAAGTGTACAAGGAAGCCAAGAGAAGTTTGCTTAAACATATCTTCTTTTTCGAGTGAAGAGCTTGGGCTAAATTATAATAATATTTTGGGACTTGGAGTGAAGGAGTGCAAAAGACACATGCTGATAACCAATACATGAGAAAAGCAATATGTTCTGAAGGGGAAACAGGCGTACCAGAAGGGCCCATATGCGCAGTGATAAAAGCTAAATAGGTCTTTTTATCCCAAGTAATCGAAACATCCTTGATCGAAATTTCTTCTTCAAACGCATCAGGATGAAATCTTTCTCCAAGAGGCATTAATCCTGTTATAGCAGCAATATCGAGCAAAGTAGGGCAGACAAAACCACAAGGGAACTCGAAAGCCCGAGTTTCTCTATTCCAGAAAAAGATAGCAGAAAGGAGCATCTGAGGGTCGAAAAGATGGAGGTCGAACTTGGCCAGTTGGATAAACTCAAAAATTCCTGTTTCTTTCCATTCAGAGGACATAGAAGCTTCCACACGGGCTAGCCAAGATGAATGTCTATCTTTAACAGGGGGGAAGGCTCTAAAGATCTTAGTGGTGTCTCCAAAAAGGGTTAAGTCTATCTCAGGAGAATAGATGAAAGGTAAGGAAGAAGGATCTTCAGGCAAAAGAGTGTTACCAAACCTCTTCGTATTCTGACCAGCGAAAGGACCAAGAAAAGCATGAATAGAACCACTTTCTAAAGAGAAAGGGAGAAGTACCTGAGATTGAAAAATCTTCAAACTGGCCTCTTCCATGCCGGGAATTGGAACAAAAGTGTCATCGCCCTCTTTGACTTTGCAGATTTGGGCGTTGGCCATTAATAAAGGAGTACCGTGAACGGAAGTTGCAGTGGCCATGGTGGTTACGGGTGCAGTAGTCACCACAGTAGAAGGCGTCACAGTGGTCAAGATAGGAGATGAAGTAGAAACACCAGTGGGAGACGTTGTGGAAGCCACGGCAGCAGAGGTGGAAGCAGTTGAATAGGCCATCAGAACAAGAGAGACTAGGAAGAACAGGGTCACCGGAAATCAAGAACCAAGCAGTGGAGGGACAGAAAAACACTAACTTGGGCAAGAAGGAAGCAAAAGAGTAAAATGGTGAAAATAGTTTCACTATAGGGTAAAAAAGAAAAAAAAAATTTACGCATCATTGGGCTTAGAGTGGAATGGGCTTCTGAATTAATTCAAATTTTAATTGAAAGTTTAAAAACAGCCGCCAAAATATTTTGAGAATAGTGAAAACAGAAATACACGCCGTATTTGCCATGATTGTCGCATCAAACGGTCATATGGGTTAATTGCAAATCAAAAAGTACAGATCAAAATAGGGTTTCATCGAAAGATGTAGACTCCGACTAAGTAATTGGAGTAAGGCTTGGTAGGAATTCGAATCTCTCTGGCCAAGCATGCACATCAAGATTGAATTCCTAAGGGGGCATTTGTTAGGTCTACTCGAAAATTCTAAGAATCGAATAGGTGTTACTCGAGAGAATATTAAAATGAACACCTGCTGGGGACGTACAAGGAGCCTATTTGAGTTGTTTCGAGTCACGATCGAAAAGTTGAAGTCATACATAGGCCAACAATAACTAATTCGAATTCGAAGACAGTTATTGGTTGAGAAGTTAATATACACGAGGAGCGGTTGTGAGAAGTTACACTTTAGAAGCCATAATGAGCGTAGTGGGCAGCGGTTATCCCATAGTGATCTACGTGCAGAAGCATCCGAGCGAGTTAACCGCTATTAATTCACTCTATAAATTCCAGAAACCTACATTGTTACAGGGTCGGAAAACTCATACTTTAACCAGATTCTAAAGCATTCTCTGCCTGCACATATGGCTTCCATGCGAGGAATTATCTTTGGGTATGATCACTTCTCGGCCATTTGTATTTTCTCTTTTTAGGATTAGAATTAGCGTAGCTTTCTTTTTTCATTCAATCGCTGTTTGGAAGTACTCAAATGTTAAAATGTTGTAATAGGTTGAATACTGTGAATGATGATATGTATTGCCAGTATCTTTATTGTCCATTCTATTTCTCTGCGCATTTATGTACATGCATATCATTATCTGGTAATTATTGACGAACGTGTAACAACGGTTAATCATTAAAAATACTTTACTGCATGGTAATTACTCCGTACTTCATTCCGTAAGAACACGTTAAATGCCTAAATTGAAATATTGTCTGTATGCTAGTTCGAATAAAAAGAACCTTTGAACATTTTCCACCATAAACAGCCATATAACTCACCACATTGAAATCACTAGAGCTGGTAGCGACAAAATAATGTTGATATTGGAGGTAGTGCTTCATGATTGACTAAAGAAAAAGAATTTAGAGTCACTAGGATCCATAACAACTCTTACAAATTTTTTTTTTTTGGGTCATTGAGTCCATAACAACATTTTTTTTTTTACTTTAGAATCATACATGTTAAGGATTGGTGTCCAAATATTAAATATTAAAGTGTATACCACCAACTTTTCATTTTTGAATATATATATATATATATATTTTTAGAATATATAGATGAAATAGTTATTAAGGATAAGAGAGGTCACTAGTTTCCATAACGACCTCTCTCCCTTTATTCTAAAATGAAAAATTAAAGTTATTTTTTAAAAATATATCCTAATTAAAAAAAGTAAATAAAAATAAAGATGATTATGAATATATCTGAATTTAAAAAAATTAAAATAAAGATAACAATTAAAAATGTATCTTAAAATTTTAAAAATATATTTTAAAATTTTAAATATTTAATAGATTTTTTAAAATTATATCTTAAAATTAAAAAATATATATTAAATTATAAATAAAAAAATATAACAGATTTTAAGTATATATAATATACAAAACAAAAAACAAAATTTGATCACTATAAATTATTTCTTTCTTTCTTTAGGGCTAGTGTCAATAGCAACTACTTCTCCCTTTTTTTAAATGTAAAATTAAATTTATTTTTTAAAAAATATATCTTACTTAAAAAAGTAAATAAAAATAAGGATAATTATAAATAAATTGGGCTGTTACGAGTTATAATGACAAAAAATAAATAAATAAATTGGGTTGCTTTGAACTATAACCGCATTTTTTTTTTCATATAGGTCCAGATGTACACGTAACGTCGATCTAAAAATTGCTAGAGCTTTGACATCATATATAACTAAAAAAAAGTTATTTTTCACATGATAGAAGTTTCTTTATGGACCATAGTAACATCACCCATTAATCACTCTAAAGGTATAAATTATTTTAAAACAATCTCATTCTAGTAATATATTTTTAAAATAGACACAATGGTTAAAAAGCTGTATTCTTAAGCAATTTTAGCTAGACATTAACATACCGAAATATTTTGTAATAAAAGTAATAGATTTTTCATCTTATGTATGAGATAAATAAGTTAAGAAGAATATTATTTTAAATATTTTAATTAAAATAAAACATAAATATCAAATAATTTTATTATAATAAATATTTAAATTTTTTAATTTTTAATTTATAAATTTTATACAGTGATAGATCAATATGTAAAGGTAACTTAAAAATAAATTTGGATAACAGCATAATTTTCATTTCGCATTGATTATGTTCACGCCTTCACGGTAGAAACTCGGTATTCAGCGGTACAACGATGATGGGAGACTATGATCGTCGGTCATTAGAACATGACAAAATAATTTTAATCAGTAATGACAGAAAAGTAATTTAAATTTTAATTATTAGAATTTTAATTTCTTTCTAAAAAATTGTTCATATAAAATATTTTATTTCAAAATATTTTACATTCACAAAAAAAAATATTTTTAAAATTCTCCATCGAAACACAAATCTAAAGCAAACTTTTTAAAATTATAATCACTAAAATATTAATTTTTAATTTAGAGTTAAAAAACAAGTTTAACCTAATCTTAAAGGATAAAAACGTTTTTATTTTCGCATGGAATGTTCACACACTAATGAGACTTTTACTGACTTAATATTCAGCGGAACAAATGATAGTTTTGAAAAGACGACAAAATAATTATAATCAGCAATGACATAAAGTTATGAACCATGAGCTGCTGTGTATCTGAGCTAAACTGTGGGAGCACAAAATGAATTGTATGACCACGTACTGAGCTTACGTGACAAAGACCATTTTTGTTATCCATTCCATGACTCATCCTTTGACGTCGTCGTGAATGAGAATGACCCATACCCATGCCTTTTTTTCTTTCTTTCAAACGAGTAGAGTGAAATCCTAAACACGCTTTAGACTCTGCTTCACCTAAACCTCCAAACCCTTCCCATCGATAGTCATATCCTGAGCCGTTAGCGGGGCACAGCCGGATCACAAAACTTTTTTTTTATTTATTTATTTTTATCATGACATTGTTATATAGTATTTATCTTAGAATATGATTATTTTCGTTAAAAATTTCATTTTTTCTCTATTCCATATTTAGGAACAAGATTTAATATTTGTAGAAATTAATTAAAAAATATAAGGAGGTACGAGTTATTTCATTGAATATTGATGATATTGGGTAAGTGAGTGGAATTGGAATTTGAGGGCTGAAAAGTAAATCCCACTGTATCAAGTAGCTGAAGCAAGTGTTAACCGTGGGCAGCCACTTTCACACTTCAATTTACCCTACAAGGCTACAGTTAATGCCAACTGTACCCGCGTCCGTGTACACATCGTAGCCACGTGCGTTAATTTTCCGCCAATCCCCTAACCTTAAAAGCCTACCTATAAATACTTCAAATTCATTAACTTACTCAATTTCACATCACAACCACCATTTCACGTACTCGACTAACCAACACTAGAAATGAATAACTTGGGACAAACATTTGACAAGTGGAACAACATGTGCTACTCTTGTTCCTCGCCGGAAACAAGCTCCTCCAGCCCACCAACCAGCGCTCACTCCGACGAGGACCTTCACGCATTGGCGTCGGCGCGGCCCAAGAAGCGGGCGGGGCGCCGAATCTTCAAGGAGACGAGGCACCCCGTGTACCGCGGAGTGCGGCGGAGGAACAACAACAAGTGGGTGTGCGAGGTTCGCGTTCCCAACGACAAGTCCACCAGGATCTGGCTCGGAACGTACCCCACGCCGGAGATGGCCGCACGTGCGCACGACGTCGCCGCGCTCGCGCTTCGAGGCAAGTTTGCGTGCCTCAACTTCGCCGACTCCGCTTGGCGGCTGCCGCTTCCCGCGTCCACCAATGCCAAGGAGATTCGGCGAGTGGCGGCGGAGGCTGCTGTGGCGGTTGCTGCTGAAGACAGTTGCGGCAATTCGCATGCCGTTGCCGATTGCGAAGCTAGCAGCAGTGACGTTAGCGTTGCTGAAGATGAAGATAATAATAATAATAATAATAATAATAAAGCTCTGCGGGGGTTTTGTGATTTGGATGAAATTACGATGCCGGATGCGTCGGGTTTTGCGGACATGCATGAGTGGCTTCGGAGTATGGCGGAAGAGCCTCTGCGATCGCCTACTTTTGTTACGTATGTTAGGGACTGGAACTTTGTAGAGGATGATGCTGAGGTTTCCCTGTGGAACTTCACCATCTGAAGCGCATGCAATTTGTAGTGTGTTTACTTTTCTTTCTTTTCTTTTCGTTTTTGGTTTTTGTACATAATTATCAACCAAGTACAAAATGTACCAAGACCCAGACGATAGGGAGTTAGGGAGAATAACAAAGCTGTAAAACATTGTATCTTTCCTTATTCAGTTTTTTTGTTATTCTCATGACAGATAAAGGAACTGTTTGAGAAATAGAATTTCCGCTTTCATCTATATATATATATGAACAAAGAAAACTCACGTTTTACAATCCTCTATAGCGATTAAAAAGATGTACATATATTGTTCAGTGCAAGCTGACTGTATGATTCATCATAAACAAAATCCCACTTGGGCACCCAATAACTAATGTTATATGTTGTATTAAACAAAACTTTGACCTACCTGAAAAAAAGTATAATTATCTGAGTAAATGAAGGTATTGGTTAAGTATAACAAGTGATAAAATTACACCACTATTACGAATTTATTCAAGTATATAAAGGCATTAGATATCTTCAAAGGTATAATGTTTTGTTTGACACTCTAAATTAAGCTGCACCCACCATCATCTTCAATTATGGACTCCAGCATCATCATGCTAATCTTTGCTAGCTCACCTTCCAAGACTCGTCTATTAATCTATAGACCTTGCTCCTTCATAGTGGGCGTCACCAACAGCCTTGGTTTTTTGATGAACAAGTCCACCACCACAAGGATGCAGGCCAACCCAAGTTATTCCCCCTTTCTCCCATCTCTTGTCCACAAGAAATTAACACTTTGGAAATCGCTTTGAGAGCACATACTTAGACGTGTTTCAGGGCTTCACATTTGTTGGGAAGGTCTTGTTTGAGGGAAAAGTGGTGGGAGAGGAGAAGGCCGTGCAACTAAATCATTAGAGATGAAATTAGCATTAATTCAGCTTCGCAACACTAATTGGGATGAGTTTCTTTTTAAAATAACACTAGTTTTTCTTAATAAGAAAACGCTAATTAATATTAAACTTTATGTTTATCAAACTCAATCACGTTAATATTATATATATCGATTATATATATGTTAGCCTTGACTTTGAGGTTGATTAAAAATAGTCATGGAATTTTTAATGATTAGTGTCAGATTTTAGATTCACACATTTCTAACAGAGGTGACTCAACATATTGTTAAATCTAATTATTTTAAAATTTTTAATTAGATCTCTAAATTAAAAATATTATAATTTTTTTATGTGCTTATGAAATCTTAAAAGAACATATTGAAGGAAAAAACTAAGGTTTGATAAACAAAGTGTCCACATAAGTTATTGCATGACCGATGTTAAAAGTCTAATTTTTAAAATCGGCTCATGCATGACCGATGTTAAAAGTCTCACTTTTTAAAATCGATTCTTTTAAAATCGGTCATAGAATCGATTTTAAAAGTTAAAAATGACTGATTTTAAAAATATTTTTTCCACTAATGATAGTATTAGCTAAGACATATGGAAGGAGAGTTGATAGACAAGTAATTATAAGGTTAAACTAAGAAGCAGATCTAACTCCCTCCTTTGCTAACTAATCTACTATGAAGTTGTCTTGCTTCAGAAGACATTTAAAGATAGGTCCCAAGAGAAGTTCACGAGAGATCATATAACAACGATGATGCTAGCATACAAATGAAAAACATTGACTCTATTGAAGATGAAAGTGAGTAAAAGTGTTGAGTTCGTTTCGCATATAATTTAACTTCTTTAACTACTTTTAGACCAAAAATATACGGTATAAAGCTCTACATTGGCACTTTTTAAAATCGATTCTTTTAAAATCGGTCATAGAATCGATTTTAAAAGTTAAAAATGACTGATTTTAAAAATATTTTTTCCACTAATGATAGTATTAGCTAAGACATATGGAAGGAGAGTTGATAGACAAGTAATTATAAGGTTAAACTAAGAAGCAGATCTAACTCCCTCCTTTGCTAACTAATCTACTATGAAGTTGTCTTGCTTCAGAAGACATTTAAAGATAGGTCCCAAGAGAAGTTCACGAGAGATCATATAACAACGATGATGCTAGCATACAAATGAAAAACATTGACTCTATTGAAGATGAAAGTGAGTAAAAGTGTTGAGTTCGTTTCGCATATAATTTAACTTCTTTAACTACTTTTAGACCAAAAATATACGGTATAAAGCTCTACATTGGTAATGGTTGAGAAACCACAACTACCTAAGTAACCATTAACCACAAAGTCAATTTCTCATGGAATCGGGTATAGAATACTATCAAACCTAGTTGGACTCGAGTTCTCTAGGGGGTTTCCCTTAGTATTAATCTTGATAATTTCATTAAGAGGTGACACACTAACACCCATTGGACAAAAAAGTTAGACTCTTTAGTCAAGGTTAAACTTAGAACACCATGACAAATGAATTAAAGACATGATCTAGTTGTAAATGTACAAAAATGACCAAACATTTTCATTGGAAACAACTTCATAACGATAGACATCAAATCATCCAAAAAACAATCGTTACTTTCCCTTTTTTTTATTACTTTAATACTCCTTTTTAATATGATTTTGTTATCAATTAAAATTTTTCTGGACTCGCAATAAGAAATCCCACTAAATTTTATGAAACTTATGAAAAAAATGTTGATCTCAAATATAGACAAATTTTAATTAATATCAATTTATTTAATATTGTCATATCTAAAATATGATTTCATTTAATTGGGATTATATTTCGAATATTTTTTTTTGTATTTTTAATATCAAGTTTTAAGAAAGAATAGTTTAAGAAAAGTCATTTTTAGATGTAATTAACAAAGTTAAATGATATAAACAACATTATCTTAATTAGGGTGATTTTTTTTTTCTTATATTGGAAAGAGGAAGTAATATTTGATTATGTGGAATTTAAAAAAATAAGAGAACTTAATAAATATCATAATAATGTTAAAGAATTTTTAAATACATATTCTTTATTTGAAATACCTCAGTTTTAAATTATAAAATACGTGTCTTATTACCCTAGTGTTATGGGTATTTGCCAATTGTAAAATGTGTAAAATGCTTTTAAAGATAAAGAAAGGAGTAGGAAATAAATAGGAAGAAAACGATGAGATGGCTGTCGGAAGTCGGAAGTCGTAAGTCAACAATCAACAAGAGGATCCCAAAAACGTGGCACGTGCCTATGCGCGTGGGGAGAAACTCTTAAAGAGTCAACTACAGGTCTATTGGCAGCCAATGCAGACACTATCGTATTTCTTTAACTCAAGTAACTCACTATACAACAAACTTCAAATTCAGCCAAAATATTAAACTAATCTCTCTTGAGATTCAAATTTTTATGAATATGAAATAAGAAGCATCCAAGCTTCTTCTTTCTCGCGCATACACTTCTTATACCTCACTGTCATTGCACGCCTTTCAGTACTGCCTTCAATCTCTAAATTTGTCCGCTTCCCACACAACATTAATTTATGTATTGAGATTTGAGATCTTCACCTCCGAAACTTCTCAACTCCTTCCCCGTTCAGCAATATATATAATCCCTAACTATCTCTATATTTCTACACCATACTCTATTTTCTTGTTCTATCCCCTACCTTACATTTCTTCACCTTAGTTATATACATGGCTTCTAGTGGTGGCAAAGGCAAACCTTTGTGTAATCATTCTCTAATGCACCTCCCAAAACGCTCCGTTTTGCTGAAGGACTACCTCATGAGGGACGACCTCAGTTCGTGTTCATCGAACGGTTTTAAATCGTTCCCGCGGCAACAGTGCTGCACAAGCGTGGGATTTCAACGCAAACGAAGGAATGCACTCCCTCGACCACGTTCCACGTCTTCTTATTCGGCTCTGCAGAGAGCTTCGGGAGCCATAATGAAGGCTATAAAGTCACTCCCCTTGTCACAAAAGAAAACCAAGAAAGCTTCCACCGGTCTTCTTTCTAGAAGCTTCTCGAGGAAGCTGTTGAGTAGAAGCTTCTGGAGAAAGGCGGCGAGGGAGGAGGGAAGCGAAGGTGTGCCGCGGAGGAGGAGATCTTTCCGCGAACTCATCATGCAGGATCAGGAGCATCGTAAAGCGACGTCGTTGAATGAGGATATTGTGTTCTCTGCACGTGCCACGAGCATCACCACCTCTTCCGGCTGCGGTAGTGACAGCTGGGGAGAGAGTGAATTCACTTTTGCTTCCACCGCTGCTTCCTCTGAGACCTCCAATGAAAACTACCTCGTACTTGAGGGCACCAAAGAGGGTGCACGTGCACCTCATCACAAGGTGGAACCAGTGGTAGTAACCAAGGTAAGTGATTTCCAACTTGAATTCTTGTACTATTTTTTTAAGTTGTTTTTTATTGTATGGATTTTGTTACGGCACAGGTTAAGAAGGAAAACAAGTTCCACCTTCAGAAAGTAAATTGAACTAGTCAGATCCGGAAAATAAAAAAAAATAAAAAATGTGATAGGTTAGGGCATTCAATATTTCGGGGGGGTTCGGTGGCTTTTTCAAGTAGTTCAAATATTTAAAGAGCATGGATGATTTTTAAATTGTTGACCCATCTGTTTTACATTAATTAATAACAAAATATATGCAAATTAAAGGTCTTCATAAATTGTGAATTTAACTATACTCTTCTCCATTTTTTTATAAGATTCAAATTAATCTGTATATATTTTTCGTCTTTATGAGAGTTAACATAAAATATTTCTTATGTTAATTATTTTTATTAAAAAAGTACCTTAATTAAAGTTATTTCTTTTAATTTAATATATTGTTTATCAAGTGCCATTATATTACGGATAGTCACTACAAAATAATTGTTTTATAGTGATACAACTCCTAAAATGTTATAATATTTATTACTAAAAATTATTTTAATCTATAATATAAATATAATATAGATTGATATATTATTAAAAATGTATATATAAGTTATAATGACACATAATATATATTGTTAAATCTCATTTAAAATCAATATTAAAATTGTATGTAAGTATATATTAAATTAATTTATACTTGCATATATTAAATTTATAATTACACATTTTATATGTCATTATATGCAATTTCTTGTAGTGAGTTTTAGAAAAATATTATTATAAGTTTAGGAAAGTTTAATATTATTAATTAAATTAACCAGTTTTCTTAATTTTAATAAATTAAATAATTGAATATCATTAAAAATGATTGAAAAGGGCTTTTTTTTTTAAGTATGATATTGGTGTAAAGTGTTCACTAGTTTAACATTATTAATTAAATTAACCAACTAAGTTTTTATCATTTGAAATGCTTGAACTCAAAATGTTGGTAAAAAAAAATTATTGATATTTTATTATTGTTATGCGGGTGTCTTTAATATTGCTCTAAACTTTAATTATTATTAATTTAAATTAATGATTATCAGTATTCTTTTTCCTAAATTGCATTGGAGAATACGATTCCCTTTATTTAAACCATGCATGGTCCCTTTATTTATTTAAAAGATTTGGTTTTTTTTGGAAGCACAGCATTTAGCGTGATTTGCACGTGCAGAGTGTGTACTTTTGGAGTGAAGAGGGGACTGCTTTGTCCACTAAGCGCCTTCCGCGGCGCTGAAACTCACTGCAATTACTGACACTAATCACACTATGAACTGGTTGTTGATTTAAATCCAAATCGGTTAAGTATAAAAACTTACTAAAAATTATGATAAAATATTATTAATATGAATACTATTATACTATTAAAAAAAATTGTTTACAACTATTTAACCATTAGCTTAAGAGGATGGTTTGGTTAGCAAAATCCCAGTCAAAATACGGGATAGTTTGGAAAGTTGGCTAATATTTTGTCATTTCGTGCGCGGCGGCTACACGAGTAGGGTTGGATTTACCCTCACTCGAATTTCACTTCATATTCGTAGTTTGCTTTGCATGTATAACTTTCACAAGTATATTTAATATATTTTATTGCTAAATATTCTAATTATGTAAAATATACTTTTTAAGTAAGTTATATTACTGTATAACATTTTTTTCTTAAAAAATCGGGGGATAGTTCACTATCATATTTTTTTTTTTAATTTTTCTCAGTAAGCTGTGAAAACTTAAAGAATGATTTTATCCTATAATACAATTAATTTACTCATGAAATGATTAACAACTGGAGTCGTGATTGGCCAATTCATCTTATTAAATATCGTCAAGCACGTGCACATGTGCTTTTCTCCTTTTCTTTTTCTCCTTCATATCTTCTTAAACATTTCGCTAAATCTGTAACGCATGCAGTCGTAGGGAGTGAATAATTTGAGAGGCTTCATAACTAAAAGCTATTTTTTAAAAACATATACAAATTGTAGAAGAGCAAGTTGAGAACGAATTGACCTTGATTTCAACAAATCAATTTATATATATATATATAAGCATTAATGAAATTTAATATAAGCTAATTATAATGTTCTCTAATTTACACAAGTATCCTTAAAGTAAAGAATTTATATTTGATGCATTATCAAAATTTCTTGCACTATATATCTTTAAATAGCATATTGATAAATCATTGGGGAAAAAAAGTTTGAAATTTTGAGGGATGTGGTTTAATAATTTGATAGTGTACAAAATTAAACTCTAAAATTTAATTATCTCTGGGTACCAGAAGTCTTTTTGAAAAAATCAAGTACAAAGTTGGTTTTGCAGTGAAGTTTGTTCATTTCCATCTGATTGTTTAAACTCTTCCCCTAGTAAAATGTCAGTCGTGTCCAATTTTTTTTTCCTCAAATGAAAAAGAGACTAATTAGTGAATTGGCTCTCATGAAACAGGAATACTGGGCAAATGAGAAGGAACAATTTAGTCCTGTATCGATACTGGATTGCCCATTTGAAGATGAAGATGATATTTACAATTCTCATTTCAATTCCACTTCGACTATTCTTTCCTTTTCTGAAGGTAGTTCCCTTCTCTCCCTCAACAACAACATGCCATAAAATTATTCGATGAAGTTTTGCAGCATAAATACATTCTATTTATCCGACAAATAAAATTGTGTGTATATATATACTATATGATTACAGGCGCCAAACACAAACATATGCAGAAAAGACGGCATTTTGAAAGCGCGACTCAACTGGAGCCGGTGGTTTTAGAGAAAAGGTTCGCGCGGTTAGAGTTGAAGGATGAACCACACAATCATTCTTCAAAACAATGCTCCATATTAAAGCGTAACGATAACAAGTTGCGTCGTGACAACATTGGCATCATCGAGGAAAATGCTCGCGATCTCCTAAACTTCGTTAAAAGGTCAATACCATCAAACAGTTTGATAGTTAAGGCAGAGAACCTGCTGTTTGATTTCTTCAAGCAGAGTATTGGTGAAAGTGAAGACATTGATCACTCAAAGAAGTTTCAACTTTGCAAGGTAGCGGAAGATTGGATACATGGGCAACCCCAGGAACAGTATTTGGGTTGGGAAGTGCAGGGAGGAAGGTGCGTCTACATTAGCGAGATGGACAAGTGTGGGGAATGGAAGAACTTTGATAAAGAAATTCAACAATTGGCAATGGAGTTGGGAAACGAGGTCTTGGCAAATTTGGTTAATGAGTTGGTACTTGACCTCACCACACATGCTAGTCACTGAGATGAGATCCATGCTGCGACTATCTTATTTCATTGTTTTCAATTGTATTCGTTTCTTCTCCCTGTCTCGGGGATACGGGTGGATCAATTTTGGAACTATTCGGGGAAATTTTGGTTTTAGTAATGATGATTTTCTTCCCCATATTTATCCTGCATGAAATGCTTTCACACCCTATATATAATGCTAGACCTACGTGTTGTGTTGATCATAAATATTAAATAGTCGAGAGAGGAGATCAAATTCAAAAAATATATATAATAAAATGTTGGTACGTCCAAAAACGAGTAGTAACAGAGAAATAATAAGATGAGAAAAGTGATAAAAAAAATTAAAATAATATATACAAAGTTTTAATTTCGAATTTCCCTATCATCTTACAAATAAAAAAACAAAACTTATTTTTCGATTTAGATCGGTTTCCCTTCATTGATGGACGGTGAAAAAATTATTCTCAATGTCTTCATTTTTTATGTGTTCGGACATCAAGAAAAAAAAAAAAAAAAAACTCCCTTGTTGCAATATTTCATGGTTTTTATAGTAATGCTAAAAACTTGCAAATTTAATTAACTGAATAACCGCATATAATCATCTTGGTGTAAAAAAAAAAAACCACAGATAACTTAAATGCATACTGAAAATGAAATAAATTTCATAAGTTTAATGAATTTTTTTTATATACGACGCCGGAAATTTACCTTACAAATTTTTAATTTTATGATTCTATTCCTATTAAAAACTTTTACTCTTGATTTGACTCTTATGACCGTTAAATGAAAGTTAAAAGGTTCAGTTATATTCTGAAAGACTTTTCATTAATATTAGACTTTGTGCATGTATTTGACTTTTAATACCGTGGCAGTTGGAATCTCTCTTTGCTTTTAACTGAAAGGCTACTAAATTATGTCGATCTGTTTTTCATTTAGTTTTGGACTTTTGAATTTCTAACTTTTATTCAGAGTTTCAATATTTCAAAGGTCATACATAACTGAATTGAAAGCTTACCAAAAACTAAGTGACCTTCTAGAAATTTTGAATTTTACGTTGGTTCAATTTACACCTTAATTTTGCTTTCTTTTGATTTCTAGTTCTCTTTTTCTATAACTTGTCTGAGGTCTATCCATGCATATCCGGATAGACGAAGATTTATTGCAGGAGAACATGCATATGAATGATTTGTCACTTCAACTTAAAGAAGAATTAAAGTTTTTGCTGTCAACTCATGTTGTACACAATCTATAAGAGCATTTTCAATTGGAGTAACTCTAAAAAATTGTTTGGCGTATAGATTTATGTACTTAATGATCTTTATTATGTTACCAGAGCGTTAAACAACTTTTCTTTATTTTCATTCAAACGGTTTCGAACAATTTCAAGTAACTCGATATTTTATAAATTTTTAATCTTGAATTTCATTAAAAGTATAATGCCTTTCAATTAAAAGTATTTTTAATTATTGCATATCAAGTAATATTTTTTAAAATATTTTTGTACAGGTAGGGGGGTCGGCCACCACCCTGTCGGCCACTGAATGGCAGAGCCGGGCAGCCGAATGCCAATCGGCCACCTGGATTGGCCTATCGTCACTTGTTACCTTTAATCAAGTAATTAGGGGTTAATTAGTTGATTATGGTGTATTACCTAATACGGTAAGTATGCTGCGAGGCCCATGGGGTCCGGGGCCCATAAATGACAGTATAAATAGCTCAGGACAAAAGGTAATGTCACTATTCATTAATTATCCTAGAGATTCGAGCTTGTCCTGACTTAAGCGTCAGAGTGCCTTTTGCAGGTACCACCCCCCTCTTCAGCGTATCGGAGTACTGGGTCGGGAGTCTCGTTCGGCCTTCGGACTACTAGAAGACTTAGTGTGCCCTTCAGACAGGTACAAGTTACATGTTGGATGACCACCTCGTTGACATAAATAATAAAACCTTATATTTCTTAATTAAGTTGTATATAATTTGGATCTTAATTATAAGTATAAAATAAATTAAGAAAATAAATATTTACCTTGTATGTATTTATAGTCTCCAATAAAAATTAGCCGCTATTTTTAATGATAAATACTTTATTAATAAAATATATAAAAAAAAACCTATATATTAAATACATATATCAATGCATGAACAACTAAATTAGTTTGTCTTCTTACGAAACTAGTTCAATAATTTTTGTCAAAAGTTTAAGTAATTTTTTACACTAAGACAGAATAGTCTCAAACTCAAAAAGGTCTCTACTTGTCTTGAATAATCCATCAACAACTTGGTGACAATTTAACACTAATAATTAACAACTTTGGAGATACCGAAAGACAAGAATCATTTTATAGTACCTAGCAGGACTATAGTTTCACCCGACATAAAATAACCATATAACATAAATAAATAACTGATTCAAATATAAATTATCTTTTATATATATAT